ATATATATATATATATATATATATATATATATATATATATATACAAGGTGTATAATCCAAATTCGCGTATACTTGACGAGTTTTCGAACAGAATCATCCACAATCCGCTTGTTAATGCTCGCTAACAGTATAGATACGTACACTTTGTGCACATTCCATATAAAACTCGAACGATCTATCTCTTCAAGCAACGCGCGATTTTCTATTTACAATTCAATTCAATTACCGGATTGTTAATCTAACAATCGGAATTTTTTTTCACGCGCAGACTGCCGCCAGCGAGAATACGCCGATTCGAGATCACGTCACCACCAGGATTTTTCGATCTACGAAATCCCCGAGTTCTCAAGGTAAGCGCGATCTTCGTCAGACCGATCGTTTCGCGCGATTTACGTCGTTTGGAAAATTGACAACCAAGCAATAACTCTGTCTTGTTGCTAATCATCGCAAGAATCATATCTGTTTCTCCTCTCTTTATAGTTTTTATTTTCGATAGTTTTCGTAGATTTAAATTATACAAACAATAGTTTAGCTCGTCAAAGTGACAAAGGATTTCAGATCTTTCTTTTTCATAATTGATAATAAAAAGGATACGGGTATTTTTGTCGAAATTAATATCGATCTCTGTTCAGACAGGAAGATAATCGCTGTACAAAATCGTATTATTACCGATACGTATTGATTATTAATGTAAAGTTCGGTTTTAAATAGTTTTTCAACAGCAATTAGGAATGATCGAACTTCGTTTACACGTAATTATGAAATTCAATAGGTGTTGTCGAAATAACACAATCATGTACAGAACATGTTCCTGATCGGTTGATCATCACTAAATTGTGAATGTCTATACATTTATAGAGAACTAAAAGATGCAAAAATCTAGAGGATGCATCGAAAGATATAGAAAATTCTATAAACACCCTAATACATGGAATTCATTGTGTGACAATTCATTAGTTAATTTCAAGTTAGTTTCAATCGTGTTTATAAAAATGCAAGTATCATTCTTGAAGTTTCCAAGATTTCAAACTTTCAAACGAGAGAAATTTCGACGACCACCGTACGAATTTTTCCTATTCAATCGTTATTTTCGCGAGATGTCGAAACATTTCAAAACCTTTATCCGAAAGCATGAAATGCAGAAGGTGTTAAAAAAAAAAAGAGCCACTGTTCGAGCACTAGGAAAACACGGCGCGAACCATCGTAACGCACCTGGTCAGAGGATCGTCCGATCGATTGTCCGATCGAGTGACTCGAACCAGCCACGATGATCCAGCAAAGAGAGAGAGAGCTAGAATTTCTAGCTGCTAGCAAACTTTTCGCCGAAGATGTAAGTACATACGTTGGCTTTTTCCACGGACGTTCGCGTGGCGAACGCATTCATCAAAAAGAAAAAGAGAGAGAGAGAGAGAGACATAGTACGGTGCCTTTTTTCATGGAATTCGTCATGACTGTGGTGAACACATTCGTCGGAGGGAAAGAAGGAAAGAAAGAGAAGGAGATGTTCGTTCGCTTTTTCCACAGAATCCACCAAGAAGACTATGGTGAACACATTCATCATAGAGAGAGAGAGAGAGAGAGAGAGAGAGAGACGGGACGTAAAAGAGCACGTTACTCCGATTCGGGTTCTATCGCCGCGAGGAACGTGGACGAGAGAGCGTGGCAAGCAGGTTGCAAGGGTTGGAAAGGGAGCGGCGCGGTACGGCGCAGCGCGGTCTGGAGTAGAGAAGTTCCCGGGGGTGGAAAGGTTGCGAGAGGATCGGCCGCTGTGCAAGAAAGAGAAGGAAGGACGTTGGTGTGCGCGCACCCACACCCTTAACAAGCCCGCGGAGGAGAAGGGTAGCTCTGGCGAGGAAAGGAGATAAGCTGCGTAATGCTTGCTCGGTGAGAGAGGGACGGTGAACAAAGGGCGAAAGGAGAACGACTACTAGCGGTGGCTTCGATTTCCACGTGCTTCCAAATAATTTACTAATTATACTGAATCCGCTTGCTGTACTTGCGATCTCTCTCTCTCTCTCTCTCTCTACGGGCCCTACGACTGGAGAATATATATTTCCTTCTTGACAACTGCAAAAAAATTGATCGAATTTTTAAAACGACAGAGGTGAACTATATTTTGTTTTTGTTTCCATCAATTATAGAATTATTTAAAGAGTTCTAAAAGTTTGTTCGATCAGTTTCTTTATTTTTTTTCGAGTCATTGTATTTTCATGCGTTCCAGTTCCTTCACGTTTGATAAAAAAAGGTTTCGATGCAAAGACGAATAGGGCACAGAAATTTTTATTTAATTGAATGA